GACTGATTCACCGACTGATGCAGCGACTGATTCACCGACTGATGCAGCGACTGATTCACCGACTGATGCAGCGACTGATTCAGCAACCGACTCAACGACTGATTCAGCGACTGGCTCATCGACTGGCTCATCGACTGGCTCATCGACTGGCTCATCGACTGGCTCATCGACTGGCTCATCGACTGGCTCATCGACTGGCTCATCGACCGATTCCGCAACCGATTCCACGACCGATTCAGCGACTGGTTCAGCATCTGGCTCTGGAGCAGCGTCTTCAGCAGGAGGTACTTGTTCCTCGGCAACACTCTCTTCTACAACTGACTCAACCAGCTCAGACAGTACCTCCGAAGGTTCGTCTTCCGCCGCGGCAGCGTCTTCCGTAGTTAAGGTGTCGTCTGCGGGCGCTTCCTCTTCTATCGACACTTCACTCTCTCCTGATGCAATATCTGACCCGTCTGAAGGCGGCTCTGCTGTGCCGGCTTCAGTTGGTGGTGCAGGCTTGGCCTCCTCCAGTGCATCAGCCGGGACTGGATCACCATCTTCGCTCTCCACAAGGCTATCCTCCACAAGGCTATCCTCCACCTGCTCCTGGAGATCCTCCTCGTCAGCATCAGGAGTTGCGTCCTCTGCCGCAGCCTCTTCAGGGATTGGTACAGAAGTGTTGGGTTCCTGAGCCTCTTCCAGCTCTGCCGCACTTGCAGAGCCTTCTTCCGGACCAGATGCATGAGATTCCGCATCCGCAGCCGGCTTAATCAACTGGACTTCCAATTCAGATGCAGCGGCACCAGCTTCTGCCTCTGCATCTACAGCCGAGATAGTATCGTCCTCGTGCGCTTCAGTCGCAACCTCCGGTTGCTCCTCGACTTGGTCAGCTTCAGCTTCAGCCTCACTTCCAGACTCACTCGCTGCAGAGGAGCCATCCCAGTCGTCGTCTTCGGCGTCTTCGGCATCATCTTTGGCATCTTCTTCCGTTAGATCAGGCACGTCTTGTGACTCGGGTACTGTTGCATCTGCAGCGGGCTCTTCTGCAGCGGGCTCCTCCTCATCACCTTCAGAACCCTCTGAAGATACAATGGAGTCTCCTTCAGCAGGGCCATCCGCAACGCTCTTGGAAACACTTTCTGGGCTAGCTTCAGAACCTTGCGGGTCGGAGTCCTCAGTTGGCAAAGGCTCCGCGGGTGGCTCACAAGTCGAACCGTCTTCTTGGATTCCAGATTGGCTCGCGTCTTCCGCGATCCCGGATTCGCCTTCTTCAGGTTCGGCTGTTGCTGACACCTCGGAGCCTGAGCCATCGGGACCATCGTCGATGCCATCGTCATCCTCGGCTTGGTCCTCTAATGGCGCATCGGGCTTGTCAGCCATCACAGGAGCCTTTTGCTCCAGGGCAGCATCTTGGACTTTGTCGTTCACATCCTGTGCAGGTTCAGAGCTGGGTGTGTCATCATCAACCTGCGAGACATCATCGGCAGGCGGTAAAGATGAAACTTCAGACCCAGACCAGTCGTCATCTTCAGACTCAGGTTCGCTTCCCGAGTCGGACTCTGGCTCTTCTGCTATTTTCTCTTGGTGTGCTGGGACTGCTGGGACTGCGTTGGCCTTCATGTCCACTTCGGGGGGATCAGACACCTCTAGAGAAGCTTGGCTGGTAGCGATCTGTTACTCATGAGCATGGACTCGCGAAGGTGCGTATACTGAAGAGCATAGGAGGGTGGGATGATGTTTCATAAATTTATTTTTACTTACCGCTTCGGACACTTCAGTGGCTGGTATATCTGGAGCAGGGCTAGTTTCGCTTTCTGCTACTCCTGAATCTGCTGCTATAACATCTTGGTCGGTGTGTTGCGGAGAGGAATCAGCAACGTGTGGTTCGTCAGGAGAGCCCTCAGGGAGGTCGTCTTGGATAGCGTGTTGATCACTTTGTGCTTGAACGCCAGCCTCTTCTGAGGCCGAATTTGGGCTCACTTCACTAGTAGCGTGAGCCGGGGTGATTGCGCATGACTCGTCTGGTGTGTCCTCGGCTGTGGGTAGATTGGCAGCGTTGTCGACTGTGTCGAGTTAGTGAGAGTGTTGCCGAGGGCGTCTTGGGTGCAGCAAAACTGTTGGCAGCGGTGGTGGTGGTTGGGGAAGGAAAGATGATGAGTGAAAAGAAGACGATGGACGACGGGCTTGTCGAGCGACGGGGATGTCGGGAGGCAAAGAACAGCCGGGCTGGCTAGCGCAAAGCAAAACGACGCATGGTGACTGTCGGCGAATGGCGCGTATGCATCGCAGCCCGACTTTGGATGGAGGGTTTTGGGCACGTGACGATAAGCCAGACGGCATGATGGGCAGTGGGCGGTGGGCAGTGGGCAGAATGTGTGTTGGCAGTGTGGACCAAGCAAAAATTCTGGGGCGGCCAATGGCAGCTTCCCACATACAGCGCGCTAACCCGATGCGCTGCATGCAGGGCGCTATCGCGGAGCCGTGCAGGGCGGACACCAGCGGCGACAAGCAACAGGAGGTACATGCACACGACACAAAATATGTGAAAAGCAAACAGAGGGCGTTCACTTACCTATCGTCGTCCTTGACCTCGCCTCTCCCACGTCATCGGGCTTCTCCGACTCCACGGCCGCTTCGCTGGCTTCGGCAAGCATATTGCTTTGTGCCAATGTTCCCTCACCGACACCAGGGTCCAGAACAGGTGTAACCTCTAGTGCGCCCACAGCATCACCGCCCGGACTGCATTCTGGTGTTGCTTCTGCCTCGACACCTTTGCCATCGCCATGGCCTGTCCCATCACCGCCCACTGCCTCCGTTACAGGAACCTCTGCCGATTCTGCTTCAATATCAACATCCGTGACATATGCTTGGTGTGTGCCAGTCGACCCTTCTTGTGCCATGACCTCTGCCTCTGCCTCTGCCACCCTCTTGTCCACAACGGCTATATCTTTGGCGACAATAGACTCTGTGACCTCGTCCGTGCAACCCGTGCTGTCTTCCTGGAATGCAAACACGTCCACAGTCCCCGCAGCCTGCTGTGAGTCTAAATCCTCCGTGTCTTCACCCTTTGGCTCGATCGAGCTCCTCCCAGTACTAGGGCCATCGCCATCGTGATGTTCAGATGCATCCGTCTCGATCGCATCACATTGTGACGAGACGTCATCCTGTTCCCAGTCGGACATTTCTTGTTCAGAGTCCTCGCCATCTGAATCTCCATCGGCAATCCAATCGCCGCCATCTCCATCAGCAATCCAATCATCGATAGATGCATCATCGTCGTCTGAACTTTCCCCAACAGGTATAGAGTCATCTTCTTCTGCTGCAGCTATGGTATCGTGGGCGTCAGCGTCTTCGCTTGTATCTTCGACGGTCGGGGCATCATCAGGCGAGGACGTATCGACAATGTCTTGAGGAGCGCGAGATTCGGAAGGTTGAGATTCAGCTACTATTTATCAACATCTGGACAAGATGTGCATTCTATTTGGTGACGCAATTCTCCGCAAAGTGTAGGACGCATGCTTACCTACTGCATCCGTGCTCGCCTCTTCAGACCGCAACTTCACTTCCGCTTCATTTTCCTTAGTTGAGCATTGCGCTATAGGTGCAGCTTCACTTTCGCCTTCTACTGTAGCATCCGCGACACTAGTCTTTTCTTCTTCTGTTATGGGGGAAGCTTCGGCTGCAGGGATTTCCTTGGCCTCCTCAACAGTCGAAGCCTCTTCAGTAGCGAGAGCTTCCTTGATGACAGGAGCTTCCTCAGGGATAGCAGCCTTTTCGGTAGCAAGAACATCCTCCGTGGCCGAAATGTCCTCAGTAGGAAGAACTTCCTCAGTTGCGGGGGTCTCCTCGGGAAATTCCTCAGGAAATTCCCCAGGCATAGGAGTCTCTTTAATGGCTGGATTATACTCTGTAGCTGAGGTTTCTTCGGCAGGAGGAACCTCTTCAGTAGCTGGAGTTTCCTTGGCTGGAGTCTCCTGAACAACAGGGGCTCCAGTGGCATGCGCTTCTTCAACAGCAGGTGCTTCTTCAACAACAGGTGCTTCTTCAACAGCAGGCGCTTCTTCAACAGCAGGCGCTTCTTCAATAGCAGGTGTCTCTTCAGTGGCGGGGACTTCTTCAACAGCAGGCGCTTCTTCAACAGCAGGCGCTTCTTCAACAGCAGGCGCTTCTTCAACAGCAGGCGCTTCTTCAACAGCAGGCGCTTCTTCAATAGCAGGCGCTTCTTCAACACCAGGCGCTTCTTCAATAGCAGGCGCTTCTTCAACAGCAGGCGCTTCTTCAATAGCAGGTGTCTCTTCAGTGGCGGGGACTTCTGCAACTGGAGCTTCAGCGGCGGGAACCTCTTCAGCGGCTGGAGTCTTCTCAGTAATAGGGGCTTCTTCGTCGTCAGAGGCATCTTCAACAGTGGCAATCTTTGCAGTAGCAGGTGTTTCTTTGGTGGTTGAAATTTCCTCAGTAACGGGGGCTTCTTCGGTGACGGGGGTTTCTTCAGTAGCTACAACTTCGGTGGCTGGAGTATTCTCGGTAACAGGAGCTTCTTCAGCTGCTGGAACCTCATCCATAGAAGTTGCTTCAACGACAAGTGCTTCTTTAGCGACAGGGGCTTCTTCAGTGGCTGAAGTCTCCTCGGTAGTAGGTGCTTCTTCGACAGCGGGAGCTTCAGCAGAAGGGGTTTCGACAGCTGGGGCTTCTTCAATAGCAGGTGCCTCTTCGACAGGAGCTTGCTCAGCAGCAGGAGCTACTTCAACAGGGGCCTCTTCAGCGGCCGGAGTCTCCTCAGTAGCAGGAGCTTCTTGGGCAGCGGCAGGAGGTTTTTCAGCAGCGGAGGCTTCAGCAGTGAGGGCTTCAGCGGCAGGAACTTCCTCGGCAGCTGCGGTTACTTCAATAGGAGCCTCTTCAATAGCCATAGTCTCCTCAGTAGTAGGAGCTTCAACAGTGGGAGCTTCTTCAGTAGTAGCAGAAGGCTTCTCGTCAGCAGGGGCTTCAGCAGCGGGAGCTTCGGCGGCAGGGACTTCGTCGACAGCTGGAGCTACTTCAACGGGAGCCTCTTCAGTGGCTGGAGTCTCCTCGGTAGCAGGTATCTCAGCAGCAGTGGCTTCTTCGACAACGGGCGTCTCTTCAACCGCAGCTACTTCTTCCGTAATAATAGCCTCTTCAACAGCTGGAGCGTCTCCAACAACTGGAGCCTCTTCAATGGCCGATGCCTCCTTAAGAGCATTAGCAGCTGCAGCAGTAGTAACAGCGGCAGCAGCAGCAGTGACAGCAGCAGCGGCGGCAGTGGCAGCAGTAGCAGCAGTAGCGGCGGCAGCGGCGGCGGCAGTAGCAGCAGCCGCAATAGCAGCATTAGCAGCAGCCGCTTCGGCCGAAGCATCTTGAACAGAAACTCCTTCAGCAACGGGGGCTGCTTCAATAGGAGCCTCTTTAGTAACTAGAGCCTCCTCGGTGACAGGGGCTACTTCGATAGCTAAAGCCTCTTCAGTGGCGGGAGCGTCTTCTGGAAGGGCTTCACTGGCAGGGTTTTCTTCACTTGAAGGCGTCTCTTCAGCTGCAGGTACTTCTTCTGTCACAGCCGGAGGGGCTGTTTCCTCTTCTGAAGGTGCCTCGACAGGAGCAGCGGTTTCTTCAGTGGCAGGAACCTCCTCAGTCACGGGAGCCTCATCGACTGCAGGTGCCTCTTCTGGAACTGGTGCTTCTTCTGGAGCTGGTGCCTCTTCTGAAGCAGCAGCGTCCGCTGGGGAAATTGATGACTCCTCTACAGCTGGTGCTGGTTCCTCTGCAGGTGCCTCTTCAGCAGTGGCAGCAGGAGTGTCTTCAACAGCCGGCGCTTCTTCGTTAGCAGACGTCGCGTCAGTGGCAGAGCCCTCTTCAGCCGCAGGATGTGCATCCTCTGATGAAGGCTCTTCTTCAGTGACAGTCTTCTCTTCAGCAGCAGGTTGTTCTTCAACGGCAGCAGCAGCCTCTTCAGGGGCTGCTGGTGTTGCGTTTGCATCATCACAAGCGGCAGCGTCTTCGGCAGGCTTTGCCTCTTCGGCCGCAGCCTCTTGTGGTTCAGATGGTACCTCGACAGCGATCTCAGCTTCAGGCTCATTAGCAGCAGTCTCGACCGCAGGAGTTTGGTCTGGCTCTGCAACTGGCTCTGCAACTGGCTCTGGGGCTGGTTCTGGGGCTGGCTCTGGGGCTGGCTCTGGGGCTGGCTCTGCTGCAGCAGGCTCTTCCACTAGCTCCGGTGCTGGCTCGAGCACCGGTTCCGGTGTTGGTTCCGGCGCTGGCTCCGGTGCCGGCTCGGAAGCTGGCTCACTAGCTACCTGATTCTCTTCGCTGGTCGATTCACTGACTTCTGTTGATGGTTCTGGCGCCTGATTTTCGTCTTTGTCAGCAGCTTCAGTCGTTGACCCGTCTAGTGATGGAACGACTTCAGCGACGACAAATTCAACCGACACTAATGCTGAGGCTTCAGGACGAGGCGCAGATTCGCTAGCATCAGGGGCAACGGCAGCGGGTTCGTCCGGTTGTGGTGGCTCCTCGGATGAGGGTTCTTGGGCTTCTGCAGGAGGTTCTGCCGGTGCCGGTTCGCTTTCAATGGCAGGCTCTTCTGCGGCGGGCGGTGTTGCTACAGGGGCAGGGGCTTCTTCTATCGGTTGAGGAGGTGGTGGAGGTGGTGGTAGTGGAACAGGTTCGCTGGCAATCGATCGCGCAACATCTGCCGCTGTCTCCTCGACGATGACGCTCTCAGAAATAACAGACGAAGGAGCAGATGGTACATAGATTGTCCCAATATCACTCGAAGGCGGACTAGGATCATTGCTTCCTCTCTTACTTCTGGATCTCTCGTCCTTGCTGGGCTTCAGCTTCTCGGACGATGAGGACGAGAAGAGCGAGCTCCTTCTTCGCCTTCTGATAAAGCCTTCTGGAGAAATGATTTTCCTTTTTTCCTCTTTTGGCGGGGGTGCAGAAGGAGTCGTTGATGACTTTTTCAGACGAACGAATGCAGTAGCTTTGACTCTAGTAAACCCAATTGGCTTCTTCTTCTTACCATCTTCTGTGGCGTCTGGGTCTTTTGTGTCAGAGGTAAAATGAACAAACTTGGTTGTTGGGGATTTGGGGGGCTCTTGAGCGGCCTGCTCGGACTCACCACTCTTCTCACTCCCCACAACTGACGCCGGAGGTGATGGGTACACGGGTGCTGGTGGATGACTTGAATATTGCACGGGTGGTGCCGGTGCTGGTGGATGACTTGAATATTGCACGGGTGGTGCCGGTGCTGGTGGTGGATGACTTGAATATTGCACGGGTGGTGCCAGTGCTGGTGCTGGTGCTGGTGCAGATGCTGGTGCTGGCGCTGGTGGGCTTCGTTGAACCGCGATAGGGGCAACAGCTGTTGGTGCTGGTGGAGGCGGTGGTGGTCCTGGAAGTTCAGCTTTGACATATTTAGCTACAGTCTCTCCTGTCACATTGTCACTCTCACTACCTTGAAGAACAGGTGCCTGGGCTGATGTATTTTCAGGGGCAGTCCCCTCGGGGGTTGCCTGTACAGTAGCATCTGGTGTTACTGGAGGTGTTTCTAGTGGTGCAGCTGGGGAATCTCCTGCATCTATAGTTGTCAATTGGTTCTGCTGATCATTATTATTCTGGTTATCCTCACCTGCCCCTTGGCTACCAATCGAATAAGACAACGTAGGGGGTACACGGCGAAGAAGGATCGGCGGTGGTGGTGCACTTTGTGCGGCATAATAGCTGTGCGGTTGCGGTATGGTTGCTGTGGCGTAATAGCCCTGTGGTTGTGGTGGTGGACTTGGTGTGCCATAAATGTTCTGCACAGTGTTTGGTGTGGAGTTACCGTATGGGTCCTCCCATTTTGAAATCGAAACTTGCTGGAATTGACGCATGATGGGTCAGACAGACAGACACAGAGTGATGGTGGTTTTGAGGTCCGAGGATATGACAAGTGGTGCTACGTGCTAGTATATCTGACGTTTCCGTCGTTCCATTGCAGGCAATAATCAACAAATAGATATGCAATGGGAACACACAACGTGGGGCGCAAATATTGAGTGCGGAGAGGCAAATAAGAGATGGTGTCAGTCTAGGGGATGTGCGGGTGGTGGATGAGCTATGTGCGTGGCTTCAATGGGCCAAAGCTGCGACGGTACACCTCGACCAGGCGGAGGAGAATTGCAGGACAGCTGTCACAAGACACGATGCGAGAGATCGCAAGAAGAAATCTCGCGCAATGTGCGTACAATAGTTCGGCAAGCTTTGGGCGGTACTCCCGACTGCTCCCGCAGGCCTCACAGAGGGATGGCGAGCTTGGCCTGTAGGTCTCATTGGGCCACGTAGGGAATCACCGTTTGTTCAAAGAGAAAAGATTGGGAGACCGGAGGGTGGGCTCGGGCATCCGCAGTGATTCCGCCATTGGCCCGATGTAGGGTTCTAGGTGCAGCATGTGTCGCGAGCGATGAAGCGCGATGTAGCGTTGGTAGTCACTCTCGAGCGGCCAGAATCACGGCCACCGGAAAGCATGGGCGCGCGGGATAACGTCAGTCAACAAGGTGCACCCCGTACGAAAGCCTCGTTTGCCAACGAACCAAAACGGATGCCGATGCAGGGGGTGGCGTGGAGAGACCTGGCAACAATAGCAAAAATGAGAGGGTAGATGAGGTTGAGTGACGTGGCGAGGGGCCGGGGAGCAGGGAGTGCGCCACTAAGCCGCCGATTAGGTCGAGCCGACCCGACCGTCTCTGACTTCCATGGCCTTCTCTGCGACGTGGGACAATGAGAGGAGGAAGACGACCATGTGACCCACCCTCGAAGCCCCTGGCTGTGTACTCTACGTACTGCTGTGTACTTACAGCGAAGCAGTTGAACTGCAGTCGACTGGGCATCTTTGCGTGCCCATTGACGCCGCCCAAGCTCTAGCCGTCTCGATCGTGATGCAATGGCCAGTCTCCTCTAGACCCTTCTAATCTACTGCCGTGAGCATTATTGACATGCATGGCGTCATCGGTTGCGCGATTATCCAGCGGCTATCGAGGTTGCAGAAAGAGGAGAATATAGGGTGAGCGAGGAGATGCCAATGCCGCGGGCGAATCTGATGCCTGTACGTGTTCGCAGCTCAATGCTTTGTGCGACCATGGGGATAGATTGGGAGGCGACA